AAGTCACTGTCCCGTGAGAACTAAAGATTTCATCAGTGTAAAGAAGAGGTGATATATTATGTCAGACAATGCATGTTTGGTATGAGGCCTTGCTTAGAATCTGTTTGTGTTTTCGTTTGGAGTCAGACTGGTTTTATTTCGAAAGTAGGAATTTATAAAATGACTGAAGGTCTATAAATTATGGGCTTTTTGAAAAAAACAGTGTGGAAACAGGCCAAATGGCCCAGCAAATCCACACTGCCCCTTCAAAGAACATCCCACTCAAAATCATACCCCTACCCTGTATTTCCCACGGCTAAATCTCCTAACTTAAACACCCCTACAGGACTCTACAGGCAATTTAGCATGGCCAGTCTACATAGCCTGCACATCTTTGGACTGTGGGAGGAAACCAGAGCACCGAGCGGAAACCCGTAAAGACATGGGGAGAATGTGCAAACTCCACACAGACAGCTGCCCAAGGGTGGAATCGAACCCAGGTCCATGATGCTGTAAGGTAGCAGTGCTCACCACTGAGCTGCCATGCCACCCATGTATCCACAAAGAATGTATTGGCCAAACAAACAGACCTTAGCATCTGGATATATGAATGGGAAAGGTTTAAAGGGATATGGGCCAAATGCTGGCAAATGGGACTAGATTAATTTAGGATATCTGGTTGGTATGGATGAGTTGGACCAAGTTCATTTATTTCCCCAAGTTCCCTAGCTTCCATATCCTTCTCCACAGTAAATACTGGGATAGCTAACATTTACAGTACACCATCAAAGTCAATAAATTCAGGAGGGAGGTAGATGTAAAGGACACATTTGCAATTTGGAAAATTTGGAAGTCCAGATCTGATATCTAACGATTAATTTGTGCTAAGAAAGAACTTGGATTTAGATAGCACCTTTGATTATCTGAAGACATTCCAAAGTTTTTCACAGCCAACACAGTCCTCATGAACTGTGATAATTGTTGTATTGCAAGGAACTATAGTAAAACTACACACAGCAAAGTCACAAAAATGATAATGAGCTGAATAACCAGAGAATAAATTTTATTCATTGAAATCATAGAAAGTGTACCACACAGGCCATTGTCTACTATTGTGTTTGCACCAGAGGAAAAGCAAGCGACCAGTCAAATCCTATTTTCCAGCATTTTGTCCTTAGCCTTGCAGGTTTTATTTGAATATTGAAGCACTGTCTAAATTATTCAAGGATAGAAAATGCAGAAGTCCTTTCAGGCAATGTGTTCAAGACACCTAACACTCTCTGAGTAAAATATTTTTTGAAAACTTAAGCCCCCCTTCTCATCTTTCTACCAATCACTTTAAATCCATGTTCCATAGTCACTGATCTCTCTGTTAAGGTAAGTAAGTCTTTTCCATTCATTCTATCCAAGCCCCTCACAATGTACATCTCAATCAAATCTCCCCTCCGACTTTTCTCTTTCAAGGGGAACAATGCCAGTCACATAGCTGTTTTTTTCCAGGCCTGATCACATCTTTGTAAATCATCTCTGTACCATCTCCAGTGTAAATCCATTCCTTTTTGTGCTGAACTGACCAAAGCAGCATACGGTATTCAGGGTGTGGCCTAACCACTGATTGATACAATTCCAGCTTCTGCTAAAAAAAATTCTACATGTCTCTTAACCACTTTATCAACCTGCTACCTTCTGGATCCATGGACATTCATTAGAAGATTGTTCACTTCTTCTGCTCCTTCCAATATGCTCCCAGTTATTGTGTGTTCCTTTACCATGTTTTACCTACCAAATACATCACCAGACAAATCTCTTGTGCTGAATTCCAACTGATACTTGCCAGATCTCCTGACCAGTCTATTGATATCTTCCTGCACTCTACACCTACTTTCCTCACTAACAACCACAGTAAATTTTTGAGTCACCTACAAACTTCTCAATCGTTGCCCCCACATTCATGAGATCGCAAGATGTAGGTGCAGATATAGGCCATTTGGCCTGTTGAGTCTGGTCAGCCATTCATAAGATCATGGCTGATCTGTAATCCTCAACTCTTCTTTCCAGCATTATCCTTGATTCCCTTACTGATTAAAAATCTATCGATCTCAGTCTTGAACACATTTGACAAACCAGCCTTGACCACTTTCAGTGATAAAGAATTCCACGTATTCACTACCTCCTGAGAGAAGAAATTCTGCCACATCTCTGTTTTAAAAAGACAAGCCCGCACACTGATATATGCCCTCTCCTTCTAAATTCTTCCATAAGGGAAAACAGCCTTGCCACATGTTTTAATAAGGGCACTTCTCATTCTTCTAAACTTCAATGAGTACAAGCCAAACCTATTCTCATTTATTCCTATATCATTAATGTAGATCACAAAAAGCAAGGGATTTAGCACTGAGCCCTGTGGAGCCCCGCTGGAAACAGCCTTCCAGTTGGAAAACCACTCATCAACAATTACCTTTTGTTTCCTGCCACTGAGGAAATTTTATATCTAACTTATTACATTTCCCTGGATCCTTTGGGCATATTTTAATAAGTCTACCCTGTGGGAACTTATCAAAAGCCCTATTAAAATCCACGTGGACCACATTAACTACACTAGCCTCATTGATCCACCCTGTTACTTCATCAAACATTTCAGTCAAGTTAATTATACAGGATCTTTGCTGAGCAAGTCTATGCTAAATATCTTTGATTAACTCACATCTTTCTAAATGATAGTTTATCCTGTCTCTCAGAATTTTTTCCAAATCTTTTCCCATTATTGAGGTTAGACTACTTGGCCTGTAGTTGTTTGGTTTATCCCTTGTTCCCTTTTTAAACAAAGATACAACATCAGCAGTCCTTTGAACCTCTAGCACCACACACGTATACAGTGAAGACTGGAAATTGATAATCAGAGCTCCCCCTGTACCATACCTGGCTTCCTTGAATAGCCTGGGGTACTTTACATCTGGCACCAGTGATTTCTCCATTTGCAAGGATGCTAATCCCATTATTACTTATCCTCTCCCTTTATTTACCACATTCACTACATCATATTTCTTCTCCTGAACTAAAATATCTGCATCATTCCCCCTGCTGTGAAGAGAGATACAAAACATTCATTAATAACTACACCAACATCTTCAGCCTTTACACAGACGTCACTTTTGATCTTTTATGATGCCCTGCATTTTCCTTAGTTATCCACTTATTCTAATGTGTCAGTAAAACATCTCTGGGTTCACCTTGATATTGCTTGCCTATATTTTTTTCCTGCTCCCCTTTGCTTTCCTGATTTTATTTCCAATTTCAATGCTCCAGTTTCAATACAGCTCTTGGCTTTCTGTAGTATTGAGTAGTTGTTGTTGGACATAAGCTTTCCTTCTCTGCCTTATCTTACCTTGTAAAATCGTTGACATCCACAGTGGGAGAGGGGTGCCTAGATTTGGCCATGCCACCCTTTCTCTTTGGGGGATCAGGTTTAATATCAACTGTTTGAATTTCCTCTTTGTATGTCTCCTACTGCTGTAATACTGATTTACTTTCAATTTGCTGTTTCCAGAACATTTCTGCTTAATCACAATCAGTTTGGTAACATTGAACTTGTCCCAATTTAGAATTCTTAATTCCTGTTCTCTCTTTGTCCTTTTCCACAACGGTGGTAAAACTGAATTATGGCCATCGCCACTAAAATGCTCTCCCACAGCCATTCCCTCCACCTGCCAAGTATCATTGTCTAAAACTAAATCCAGAACTGCACACTTTCTTATTCGACTTGCTCTATGCTGGTGAAAAAGTCCTCCTGCATGAACCTGAAGAATTCTCCTTCCTCAGTTCCTTTCACACTAATTTTCATGTTGTTTGAGAGATAACTGCTGGCCTGGACAGTGGCAGAATTCTCCTGTTCTTATTCAAAGACTAACATACATCATCTTTACTTCCACTTGATTGGGCATGGTGTGACTCAATTTGCCGGCTGACCTAAAAGCAAGCACCACTGTCAATGCAACAATCCCTCAGTACTGCACAAACAGTGATAGGTTAAATATTAAGCCTCGAATAACTTGTACATTAACCTGACAACTTCTGGCTCAGATGCTGTAGAGCTGCCCTGAGCCACTGCTCTACATCGTGATGTGCACATCAGTTCTTGGCTTCTAATGTCACATAGGTTGGGATTGTGCTATTCATATACCCAACTTTTCTTTGCTCCCTGTAAACCATTGATGCCATTTCAATATCCATGAACCATTGATGTTGGTATGATGATGCACATACAGACCTACAAGTATTCATTCACACTGCACACTTCTGAAATGAAGAATAGAATGGACAATAAAAATCCTTGAATCTGGGAAAAAAAAATCACTCTTTTCATGATCAACTATGTCTTAACATATCTGATACTCCTGGTATGCTGCAGGTTAAGAGATGCTATGTCTCTTGATTTATGTCGCAGTTTGAACAAAGCACACATGGTGTGCACTCCTTCTGTTATAATGGTGAGGAGCTAGATCATGGTTCATGTCTCTCTTCTATATGCATAGCTTATCCATGTATCCATGCATGCAGAAATGCCAGTATAACTGTTATGTTAAGAAATGCTGTGATCTAGGCATGTGCCATAAATAAATTAATTCCAAATTAAAATAAGCAAATAGTACGAGGAAATAGATTTCTCAGTAATCTGGTATCATATTATGAAACAGATGTTTGATCCATGACTAAATCAGAGTCCCTTATTTAGAAACAAAGCTACTTTTGTTGACTATTATAGACACAATATGTAGAATGTTGCGTTCAATTCTTTCAATTAATACTACTTATTCACCAAACCTAGATATTAAAATATCAAAAGAAAATTAACCACACAATGCTGTAAACATTTCAAATCACCAAGCAAAACTTCTACAATACTATGCATGATGCTACATTACATCAATCATCATCCTATCAGCCTTGCATATACATTGTATTATTTTCATTAATGAATACAAACACTTCAGAATTGTCTGCAGCACATTTTATTCCACAGAACATTCAGAAAAGTAACAGCAACTGACTGTCTTTCAACACCACAATACAGGAATATTGCACAGTTGACATTTATAGAGTTGCCTGCTCACATTTAATCTTCTACTTATTTAATACATTATTAACATTCATTTGATGGGGGAATTTGTTATCTCCAGGTAATCCTGTCTGCTATGACGGTTGACCCAATAAAGCTTATAAGCGGTCAGTGCGAAGACACTGAAAATGATGACTGATCCACCAATAAGATCGTACATGCTTGGAAACATATGAAGGACAAGTAACTGGAGGATCATAGCCACTACGATCTCTAAGTGTTGGACTGTGCTAACTAATGCTGGGTGGAATCGATTCAGTGCATAATATACACCTAAGAAAGCCACAGTAGAACAGATACAGATCCCCAATAAATACCCCCAGGTTTCTCCATCCAATGGGATAATAGGCTCTTGTAAGATAAACATTGTGGATGCACCCCAAATTGTACCTGTCCATCCAAAGGTGAAGAGAGCAGTCCACATGCTAATTTTTTCTTTGATAGCTCTGTAAATGATCATAGCCAGAGCTGTGGTCAACCCAGCCATTACTGTCATGGTATAGCCAAAGGCTTCCTTCCAAAGGCCCACTAATGAATTATCTTCATCAACAATGTTGGGGATCATTACTAGGCAAAGGCCAAAGACACTGCAGACCACAGTGACAATGTCAGTGTAGTCCATGCATTCATCTACCAGTAGAAAGGCCAGAATGGCACTGAACACTGTGGTAGTGGCTCTCCACATAATGGTCCCATTGCTAGGGGGCACAATTGCAAAGGAGGTGTAGGCGCAGGTGATGGAAATGACATTGCATACTCCATACAGAAACAGACCCATTCTATATCCTTTGGGTCCAAGAGGATGCTCATTTCCATAGCAGACAACCACAACAGCAAAAATCTGCAGCACAGAACGAATGAAGAGAAGCTCCAGTGATGGTACTTTGGACTGATCAGCAGCAAGACGAGTAATTAAAGCAACACAGCCATGTGCTAAGGCAGCTCCAAACAGAGCTACCCAGGTTATTCTTGGCTCAGAAACCATATTTTGTCCAGTATTTTCTGTCTGTTGTCCCATCCCTTTATCTTTCTGTTCTTCCGATAAACTCTGACGAACATCAACTGTCCCAGAATAGGTTCTTCCTTGTTTTTTAGTGTCATCCAGAAGTTTTTTCTTTGGGTTATCTTCAACATAATTTTCACTATCTAGGTATGTGTCTTCATAGCCCTCTTCTTCAGGCTGTGGGTAATGTGCTGTGTATTTCACTGTCACTGTATTTGGGTGGATTTTCACTCTCTTCTTTGAGGGGTATGTTGTTTTAATTGGTGAAGATGCCATTTTTCTGAGGCAGAGTCTCTTCCCTGCAGCAAATTTCACAGAAAAGTTAAATCTTTATGTTTTTTATCATTACTGTACCAGTGGAACAGCATTTGCAATTTATATTTACCAGCAATGTTGAGCACCACACCAACTGAAACATATAATAGCAAGTCATGGATTATTAAGCACTAATTTAAGCTATATCCTCTTCATGGCTGCATTAATACAGCAATTCCTTCCACTGATAGATTGTAGAATGTTACAAAAATCACAACACTATGAAGGACCTGATTACAGGATGTTTAGCTAATCCCTGGGTCGCTGATTTTTTATAAATTATTTTAATCACTTGGAATGGCAAAGAAGTAAAAGAATGAGATGACAAAGAGTCAAGTTGATACATCACATATAGAAACAATAATAAATAACTGGTCATTACCCCTGGCACATTTTCAACACAAGTCTTTATAACAGCTATTCAAGAAATCAAGGTCAGTCAGATGTTACTTCTACCAATTATTCAGAAAAGTCAGCTACACAACTAGAGTGCATGTCAATGCTCCTTCCTCCTGCTGCTGATGCTGCTTGGAACTACTTCTACTGGGAGATCTGCTGTCATAGTATGTCATGCTTGTCTGTCTTGCACCATCCTCACACATCCACAGTAGCTCCTTGCAATACTCTGAGTCATCTGTCATTCCTACCCTCCACTTTTCCTTCTAGAAGACAGCTCCATCAGCTATCAATACTAGAATAAGTAATTACTATCTTCTCACTGAAGTGAAATGTTTATGTTTGTGATGCCTCTTCTATCTTGCATACAAGATTAGCCTGAGTTGAAAGAACAGGGGATTTTTTATTTTTATTATAGCAATAATAATAAGCTTCCAATTTTAGGACAACTAACTGTTATTGAACCAAAAACTCCAAGCAGCATGTTTAAGCATTCCTTCGGCTAGAACAGAGTTCTGGAGAACATATCTGATTGGTATAACTAGGTTTCATTCATTATTTGAACTATTAGGCAGATTATAGAAATACTAATAGCATTATTTGATTTATTTCAATGTGTCATTTCCAAAACAGCGGATCACTTGGTGATTGTGATAGGAAGCCCATGATAAAATCATCAAACATCAATGGAGTTATGAATGAATATAGATTTTACAGTTAACAGCAAAGTAAGGGCACTTTCCCCTGACTGTCAAGAAAGCTGTACACAAAGAATAATCTCAGTTACAATTTAGCAGCCATGCTAAGGGCAAGGGTCTAGGGGTCCAGTAACTAAAAGTTTACAATGGAGATTTGAAATGAAATTTTTAAAAATTCAAGGCAACTTGTTGCAATGGTTTTCTGTTCTGTTCACTGTACTGGCTGTGTAGAAGAGTTAAAAACCGAAAGAACGGCGGATGCTGTGAATCAGGAACAAAAACAGAAGTTGTGAGAAAAGCTCAGTAGGTCTGGCAGCATCTGTGAAGGATAAAAACAGAGTTAACATTTCAGGTCCAGTGACCCTTCCTCAGAAGAGTTAGTTGGACCTGACGCCTTCAATATTTGCACAGGGTCCCAAGCAGTATGCTATTATTGGGTTGCAAAGAACTTGTCAATATGGGCTGGAGACTGCAAATATGAAAACTCCTGTCCTCTGTGAATAATGCAAAAGTTGTCACATTCTGAGATTTTTTTTAATGCTGTTCTTTCCTCCTTTGGCTCATTCTTGTAAATAGTCTCTTAAGCTTAACTCAAACACAAATAATACTGGATACATCTGTCTTTCTTTCCATCAGGATATAGATTTTTTTTTAATTAGCTTTTTGAAACAAAAACTTTGGTGGTGTCTGACCACTACTGAAACAGTTAAGCTTTCCTCATTCACTCTATTGCACATGAATAATGTCTAATATCACGAAGTTTACTTTGTCATCAAAGCTTGTTGAAACCAAAAACCTGGCAGCTGTAATTCTTTGTCATTTGTGTGGTCAGAGCTCTGGGAGCAAAAAAACAAACCACTCTCTTTGCTTACATTCCTAAAGTTGTGAGAGGAAGTATGTTTGGATACTATTTCCATTATTAACAGACCTGCAAAAGAAGCCATTATTAATTCACTACATGAATCAGACCACCTAGTAACTGTCAGTCTATAACAGAAAGTCATGATTCAGAAAACCTTTAAAAATAAATTTCTTCTGATGGGGCTTAAGACAGCTAACCCTCAATGGTGGTAATATACTGATCCAAATAGTGAAAAAATATCTGGGTTCCACATTCACTGCGTATTTTAAGGAATGTTTCACCACTCACAGGGTGCTCCCTCACACTTAAAAACTGAAGTCAACTGTTTCCTAAGGATTAGGATTGAATGCTCATTAAAGCACATTTTTATTGCAATTATATATGGTATTAATGAGTAATTTTTTTGAGTTTTTTTAAGTGTTGTCAAGTAAATAGTTCACTTACATACATGCTATCACTGTTAAATCCGGAAACAGAAACTGAATAAAAATGTGACTTGCAAGATTTACCGCAGTCTGACTCAAAGATCACTCACGTGGGTCCGAAAACCTCATAATTTCCATCACGTTCCTTCACATGGGTCTACAGAAATTCAAGGTGTTTTTTTTACTTGGAGTTCAATTTAAGATTTAAATTTCGCAAAAAGCAATAAGGATCAATTCCATTCTCTTCCAAGTATCAACGTGTGTGTATAAGGAGTTTTAACAAAAATATTGCAAGATTAAACGAGAGACGCTGATTAGTTGAAACCACTTCACTATTACCCGGGATGAGTTGTATCATTGATGTTATTAAATCCCATGGGAAATATATGGAGGAACTCCACAAGGATGAATTCCGCTCTGTCGGTGGCGTCTGTCCCTATTTAATAGGAGTTTATTTCTGCCGATTAACACCTGGGGGGACCTCTGAATGTCCCTAAATGATTTCCAACTATGTCCAGGCTGCCAAATGATATTTCGACAGTAACTCGCTCAGGAACAGAGAAACTGGAACTATTAACAAAGGGTCTAAAATCAAAAGAAATTATTTTAAAAAGGCGAATGAAAATTCACTCTGGGAACCATCTTTATGCCCAGTCGGCCTTATGCAAATGAGGAGCTGCTTGTAGCAGGGACCAATGTAACCCAGGCAGTGTCCGAGCAGAGTATTCCCGATGGAATCTTTTAGAGGAGATTTTGAGTGGTGTTGCCTCTCACGGGATATGTCTACTCTGCCAGCTCTCGGCTCCTTCACTGCGTGCATTATTACACCGTGGTCCCCCAGGTTAATTCGTTTTGGTTTCAGTGTGGAAACAGGCCCTTCGACCCTCAGAGCATCCTACCCAGACCCATCCCCCTATAACACACCTAATCGAAACATCCCTAGGGGCGATTTAGCATGGCCAATCCACCTCGTCTGCATATCTTTGGACTGTGGGAGGAAACCGGAGCATCCGGAGGAAACCCACGCAGACACGGGGAGAATGTGCAAACTATCTGAGCGCTGAAGATTGTCCCAAATCAGTTTTCTTTTGGATGAATTCTCTTTACTCTGTATATATTCTTTTTCTTGGTGTAACTTCCTGAGTATAGTTAAGCAATACGGAAGGTCAGACTGCCCGTTTGATCAAATGGTGGTGATTGCTTGATAATAAGGTAGATATTTCTCGAAAATAAATGAATTCAGCATATTTCAACGACTGTAACTTCGAGTCAGTCTTTTTACTGAGAGAGAATTATCTGAGGGTCTAAAATATCACTTTGCTAAGTAAATAACTAACCTCCTAGGTCTTATAGAAGATGTGCTTCTATATTCATGGCACAGAGGGAAAGGGTTCGTTAACAGGGGACGGTACATTCCCTCGTGCATGGTCTAATGTTTGAATTAGGACGACAGATTTAAAATAAATGTTACAGTACGGCAAAAAAGGGTATAAACTGAACGGACTCAGCAGGTCAGGCAGCATCTGTGGAGAAAGAGAGAGAGAGAATAAGTCGCCATGTCAGCTGCCTCCACCAACCTGTCTCCACAGATGCCGAGTTTTCCATCATTTTCTGTTTTTCTGTCAGGTTCCGGGACCTGCTGTAATTCAGCTGCTGTTAGGTTGCATTCTGCTTGATGCAGGGAAATTTAGGGCCAGGAGTAACACATCAGCTTGCCCTCACCCTTCCTCATCTCTCTCGTGTAAAAGCCCCAGATATTAGGGGATGTCAAAAACATGGCAGGAACGAGTGTGTGCGGGTTGTGGATCTCGATGCAGTGACCATCACATCAATAAAAGTGGGGCGAGAGAGAAGATGACACAACACGGTCAATGGAGCGGAACTGAAAGCAATTAGTCGGGAAACAATCTTAAAACAGTAACGTATTTCCAGAGCGCGCCGATTCCTTTAAACCGAGATGTCAGCAGCACATTCGTACATACAGAAAGCTGCCTTTTTTTGCCTCTCCAACAAACATTGGAAAATTGCGTCTGCTCGCTTTTGGGATCCTTTAGAAGTGAGTACGTAAAAGGTACTGTAGCAAGAAAGCAGCCGGAATGTGAACACTGTCAAACCCATATTTTGTAAAGAAGCCGTTGAAGAAACTCTCGATAACTAATGCCACTTATATTTTTTTACACACCGAGTATCGTGCATTTCAAAAATCATCTTTAAACAAATCTACCTTTAAATGCGCAGCCTGAGAAAGCAGCGGGACTGGCTTCCCCTGCTATCACACTGACACTTTCAGTGCTCCAAACGGACACGGGGATCGCAACTGAACACAGCGTCGGCGACTCTGCCCGTAACCTCGGGCTCAAGGTGCTGCAACATGTCCTTGAATGTCCTCTTCACCCTCACTTGTCATTCACTCCTCGTCTGTGAGCAGCATGCAAAACATATCCAGGTCCGTCACCATCCCTCTGTGTGTGTGTGTGTGTGTGTGTGTGTGTGTTTGGGTTTGGTGATCCAGACCCTTAGCGTTTCCCTGACCTCGCTCTATCTCAGAAATGGGGACAACATGAAGTGAGCCAGACCTGGGTTTAAACAGTGTAAGGTGGGGATAAGAACAATCTGACGGCTGACAGCAAGACTGCGCGGTTAAAATGGTGAGGCTAACAAACACAGCAGATACTAAACCGAACACAACAAACACAGAAAGGCAACTGACCAACCCCCACCCCTCTCGCCAACCCTTTTTTTGTCAATAAGACAAATGTTTACGCCACCTCCCTTCCCCATGCAATGCCAGAGAGGAGCCTCACTGGGTTTGGTCTCAATCTCTTGGGGGTGGGGGGGGGGGGGGGGGGGTGCACAGGATCAGAAACTGCTTTCCCCACTCTCTCTCTGGCACTGAGCACTGGCAGAACGATGCTCAAAGAGCTTCCCCGGCCACAAGAATACGTCGGCAGCTTTGCTACAACAGCTCACGGGATCGAGCCAATCCTTCTCCCGGACAGGGAGAGAGCCCAGATCTTTCCCGGGACCCGGACAGGAGGGAAAGTGAAGTGGGAGGGGGAGGGGGGAGTGTTTATAGATGAGAGTGATCTTTTTTGCAGGTTTACCTGAGGAGAGGCTGCACGTCAGAGATGGCCGTGCTTCCCAGCTCGATGCTCTGTCTCTCTCCCTTTTCTCTATCGTTCACCTCCAGACTGGAACAGAAGCTAACCAAGCAGCAAGGAGTACTGCAGGAAGGGGGGCAAAGCAAGGAGGGGGGGGGCATGCGCACACCAGCCTCAGTCAACCCATCCACCACCCCACAGGTGATCTCCTGGAATAGCAAGGTCCATTCCACATATTTACAAACAGATCCCTCTGATTCTCCAGGATCCAACTGGCTGAGACCCGCCAGCACCAGATCTCCAATTGACTCCAGCAAGCACCGTCCACAATGACTCCTCCATCCAAGGTAGAAGCAAATAGACACCCCCTTTTACTCATTACTGATATCACTCAGATCTTCCCAACCGGGAAGGTGTCCTGCTAACTCGTATTTGCCTTTAAGAAGATTTATTTATGTGGTTCCCAGTTTCTTCTTTATTAAAGACAAAAAACAAACACTGCGGGACAATCTCTAGGCGCGCAGCGGTTTCCGTTCATCCAGGACCACATCTGGCTGCCCCAGAACAAACCGTTTCGCCTTTACTTCCCCCTGTCATAGCTGCCCACTCCTCCAGGATCTGCTCGGGCAATAAAGATAACCTCCTGGCCTCATGTCCATCACCCTATCATCTCCTGACACCACCTCCCCACCCTCCCAGGTCCACCTCCTTCACCTTTGTCAGCAGAAAGAACAAGACAGCAACTTAAGTTTGTTATCTAGATTGAGACCGTCCGTTCATGGTTGCTTCCCTTTTTAAAACTCATTCATGGGATATTGATGAGTGTCCATTTATTACCGGTCCCTAGTTGCCTTTGAGAAGGTGGTGGTAAGCTGCCTTTTGAACTTCTGTAGTCCATGTGCTATAGGTAGACCCACAATGCCCCAAGGAAGGGAATTCCAAGATTCCGACCCAGTGATAGTGAAGGAATGTCGATATGTCCAAAGATTTGCAGGTTACGTGGATTGGCCACACTGAGTCGACCATAGTGTTCAGGAACGTGCAGGCTAGTTGGATTAGCCAGCGAAATGCAGGGAGACAGTGTAGAGGTGGGTCTGGGTGGGATGTTTTTTTGAGGTCGGTGTGAACTTGATGGACCAAATGGCCTGATTCCAGACTGTAGGATTCTATGATTCTATGACATATTTCCAAGTCAGAATGGCATGTGGCTTGGAGGGGAACTTGCTGGCGGTGATGGTTTCTTGTATCTTCTGCCCTTGTCCTTCTAGATGGATGTGGTCGTGGATTTGAATGGTGTTGTCTTAGGAGCCTTAGTGATTTTTTGCAGAACATTTTGTACATAGTACACACTGTTGTCCTGTCTAACAGTGGTGGAGTGAGTGAATATTTGTGCATATGATGCCACTCAAACAGAGTACTTTGTTCCAGATGGTGTCAAGCTTTGTAAATGCTTACAGAGTTGCACTCATCTAGGCATCCTCACATTCTTTCTCTTGTTGAGTAAGCCAAACCTTCCTCTTCTTTAGCTCTGAACACACATCTTTTTCTATTTCCTTTCACCACCTTCACTTGTCCCTTGAGACCCATCTACTGCTCCTTTGCCTCAATTTCCACCATAATGTTGACTATCTAATTTCTCTTCTGAGTCTACTAGCTAATTGGCTTTGGGAATAGGTCACTGTTGGGACAGTGTCAAAGAATAGAGTGTGGTCACATCAGATGAGTGCTGCTAAATGTGTGTGTGTGTGCATGTGCACACAGCCTGTATAGGAAACAAA